AGAGATAACTAACCTGGATACAATAAAAACAACTAAAACCTGGATGAAAGAAATATTTAAAATTCAAAACAATAGAATTAAAAGAAATAGTTTAGAAGAAAAAGCAGCACAAAGATTGAAAGCTCAAAATATTATAACAATAATGACAAAAGCTCAACTTCTAGAAGAAAATAAAGAGAAAATAAAATTAAAAAAATTATAGGAGATGAAGAAGTAGATTTATTTGAAGAAATAGTAATACATAATAAAATATTATAATGGATAGCACAGTACAAAATGACAAAAAGATTAGAAAACAGTATAGTAAATGAAATGAAAGGATTATTGTCTTCTAGACCTAATACAATAGAATTTATTATATATAAAGAAAAAAAGACTAATACTAAAATAATAACTGAGACAGTAAACAGTAAATGTATATAATTCTTCTATATGATATACAAATATATAAGAAATTAAATTAAGAATAAATACCTGAAAAAGGGAATTAAAACCACTGCAGTAACAAGAATATATATGGATGAAATAGAAGATACTAAATTTGATAATTTAGGAAGGATTACTAAAGCATGAAAAATTAAAAATATAAATATACAAAGTTAGAAAACAACTATATATCAAAATAAGAACACTTCTTTTGAGTGGGGAGAACTGTTACAGAATGAAATTATCATAATAAAAATATATAATGCAATACCAAAAATATTTGCAAATAATTAACAATAACTTTAGAAAATATTAGTGTTTAAAATTTAATTGGTAAATATTAATTCAATTAACAAATAATAATAGTTTAATAATTTTTCAACTAAATATTTGTATTCAGTAACACATATTAATTAATCACAGAATAGTAATACAAGATTACGTGTTCACATGATATTTAGTTATACAAATATAATTATCAACTCATAACATTAATTATTATCACATACCATTATTTAACAATAATTATTAACATCTATTATTAATTAGTATTAAACATATTTAGTAAATAATATAAAGAAATAGTAACTAATAGAAGTAGTATACAGTAAGGTACAGTAATACACAATAAGATACAGTAATGCCACAGTAATGAAGATTATTAGATTTAAGTATAAAAATTGAACTGAAACTGTCTTGCCCCTCTAGTTTATAATTTTATAATTTTGAATTTTGATAATTTGTAACTTATTTAAAATCGATAAATTTAATTTTATAATTTGTAACTTCAAGATAAATACTTGAAAATTACCTGCAATTGGATTAATAAAATAATAAATATTCGAAATATGAAATAAAAACTACAAAAATAATTATTGAATATAAAATATAATAGTTAATAAAGGAATAATGGATATTATAGGATTAAATACTTGACTGTATAATTGTATAATATTATTATTCTTGAGTTAATGAAATTGATTACAAACTATTATTATGAATCCTGAACTTGAAATAATACTTCATCTAGATGAATGAAAGTAATACTCAATTATGATAAAACTGGAAAACAATAAATAAATAGATGTTAATACTAAAAATAATGATGAACTTGAAAGATATTAGAATAAATTAGATGAAAGGTCTGATTTTCTTTCTAAAATAACTGAATCAGTGGTGCCTTCTAAAACAAATGGATAACAGTCTTACTTTTGAGAAAGGATTATAAACTCCTTAAAAGAGTTGTTAAGTCACTTTACTGGTTTAATCTCAAGGGAACTGAAAATTACTGGTGACAATGGTGAAAATAATAACATATTATTTAAACATTATATATACACAAATCAAGAAAATATACTAAATCACTATACAATAAATTCATGTAAAGGATGTCATTTAAATAAAATTCAAGAAACAAAAGAAAAACAAAAAAAAAAATTAAAAAAATTAGAAAAAAGAAAAAAAATCAAAATAAAAAATTATAAAAATGTAAAATATATATTTGAATTACAAAAAGAAGATGTGTACAATATTAAATTAAAAGAAAAATCATCAAAAGAAAGATACCTTTTTTACTTTCCTAACTCAATCAATAAAGTAATATACAAAAAAATGGAAAATGAAACCAACTACCATATACAAGAAAAGAAAGATCAAATAATGACAGAAACTTTAACTTTTTACCCTAGTAAAACAAAAAAAGCAAGAATTATTTCACATATACAATAACCTAAATAACTAAAATATAAAAGATTACATAGTATACACCAATGAATCAATAAAAAAAATCTATAACAACAAAACCCTAATGAAGCAACAAATACAAATGAGATATGAAATAATCTTAATAAACCAAGTTACAAATGAAATAATCAAAGAATTAAATGGAAAAACAACAGGTCCACTATCATCAACAAGAGCAGAATTAATAACAATCATATTAACCATAACAATAATTCCAAATAACTCAAATATAGAAATCTTTACTAATTCAAAAAGTTCAATAGATTCAATAACTAATTTCATCTACCCTAAACAAAGAAAATGCTGAAAGATTTATAAAAACCCAAACTTACTACTAATAATAAAAGAAATAATAATAGAGAAAAACATAAATCTAAAACTAACCAAAATAAAAGTGCATGCAGGAATACTCCTAAATAATAAAGCAGATGAATTGGCACAAAAAGAAACAATAAGTAAAACAATTGAAGACCTTAATTATAAACATAAATTCATAGAAACTGCCAACTAAAAAAAAAAACAGATTCCTAAACAATCCAATACACAAATTAATCAAAGATATAACTAATATCCAAAATTTAATTAACTGGAAAATACAACTTAGATTTATTCAATCCTTCAATAGAAATATAGAAAAAATAATAGATTGGAATGCAACAAAAGAAATTTTAATTCACTCAAAACTAACAAACAGAGAAATATCAAACACAGACCAAAGTCTAAGAATGTTCAGAATAAAAATAATATGTAATGAACTACTAACATACTCTAGACTAAATAATCTCAAAGAAGAAATATATTAAAATACAAATTGTCTAAGATGTAAAACATAAATAGAATCAACACTCCACATCTTTATATATCAAGCTAACAAAGAAGACTTTAAACAGATATAAATTAATACAATTAAAAACCACCTAAAAAAAACTTAATATCAATTATGATAAAATTAGAAAATTTATAAAGGAAAAAATAATAACAAACAGATTATACTCCTTTGACTTAAACAGAATAAATACATGGAAAATAGCAAAAAATTCAAAATTCAGCTTTAGTAATATAATAAGAGGACTTATACTTAAACAACTAATTAACCAAATAGTAGTAATAATAGAATCAGATAAGAAAACAGCTAAAGAAAAAGTTCTTGAAATATACCAGACCACAATGAAAAAACTCCATAAATTATGGTTGAAAAGAAATAACCAAATTCAAAAAACAAAGGAGTAAAAAGAAATAAAAAGGAAACTTAATAAATTCCCAAATATAAAAACAAAAAAAATCAAATAGAAAAATCCAAAGATCATATTCTAAATATAGCAATAGATTACTCATTACAGATAGATACCTCAATTTACAAGTTTATTTTCAATTTATTAAGAATAGATATTAGTGAAGCCATAGTAGTTGAAATTTACTAATTGTAAAATCTAATTTTACATGGTGGTAGGTTAAGTGGTATTATTAGATTAGCTAATACAATTTCACTGTATTTGTTGTAATACTTATAGGAAACTGTATGAGATTGCACCGGTCTGCTAAAATAAATAAATAAATAAATTTTATTCACGTCTAAGTAAAGTCAATATTTTTATTAGGTACCAAAAAAACGTCAATAATTAAAATTGTAGAAATTATTTTAGCTACAATTTCGTATAAGATAGTTGGTATCTATCTTTAATATCTATCAAATGTGGTATAGGTAATTATCTAAGAATAAATTTATTATTTTTTGGCAGTTTCATTTTAAGCGTAATATCTCTATGTATAGGTGTTCGATTTTATCACAAAATATATCATATGATATCCCTAGTTTAGGGGAATCTAATAAAAAAAATTTTGTACCATTTAGATCACTCATTGTGGCACAATTGGAATTTTGATTTTAGTAATAATTTTTGAATTTTATCATTCCACAAATACTTTTGCTAGGGGAGTGTATATACATTATAATTATATATTATATAGAAAAAGTTTTTTTTTCTAAAATTTTAGTCTAGTAAGATGCATATATAATAAATATAAAAGAAAAAAATCAATCAAAGAAAAATCTTTTCTTCTATATTATAAACAACCAGTTACTAACTAATGCAAGATAAAAAAAAGTATCAAAATATTATTATTAAAGATACCTGTTGTAATTTGAAAAAAAAAGAAATGACAAAAGTTACAACTTAGAGTTGCAACATTTTTTATAGTAATTGAGTTAATTCTTATCAAGAATTGCAAGCAGGCATCATAAATTATAATTATATTTAATAATAATTATTTATAATTACATTTGATATTAGCTATTATATCAGACAAAATTTCTAGATTCAATTGTCTAAATTTTATCTGACTAAATTTTTGATTCAATTAGTTTTGTACCTTCCACATATTGAATAATTTGAAAATTAGTAAAATTTTTAGTTCAAATTGCATCTACTTATTCTTATTTGTTTTTGTCTATTTGTAAATACATCTGCTTATTTTTGCTTGTTTTCCAAATAAGCTACAAATCTTCTATCTATTTACATGTAATATTTATACAAAAAATTAGTTACTTATTGGATATCCGATAGGTGTTAAAAATGGTTTAAATCATATTTTGAATATCAAATCCTCTGTATAAATAACTTTTACCATTCTCGAAAAAAAAAGTTTTTTTATTTAATCCGTATATAATTTAATAAAGTTTGATTCTTTATAAAACCTTTCTATTTGTATATTACTAATCCTGTCTTGCCATTAGTACAGGTTGAGTGAGAAAAAACATATAATTTTTTTTAACAAGGAAACAATAATTTTGTAAAGATTTGTAGATCATTTACAATTTTTGTGAAAATGTGATGTCATTGTAATTTTATGAATTTATATTACTGAACTAACCAATGAACAAAATACAATAATAATACTTTTCTTCTGGGAATAAAATAAAAATAATTTATATAGTTACTTATTATTATGACAATATATATATATATATATGTGTGCGAAATTACATATAAATGAGCGCGAAATTAATTTTTTTTACATTCTGTGCATTCAACTATTTTTGATAATAATAAATGTACAAAATAAAATTTACATAATATTTTTTTTTTAATATTTCATATTATTATGTGCATCTATAATAATTTTTTTATTATTATTCGATTTTAGGGATTTCACATGTGAAAACCGTGAAATCATTCCATTAATAATTCCTACAAGTAAAAATCCTAATGGTCGTTGGATCACTATCAATGAAGCCAAAAATAGAGCATTTCAAAGATATCAAAAATACGGTAAAGGTCAATTAGTTCCCTATTACATGCTACCAGTATTAGGAACTCTTCCTTCGGTTCATCATGTTTATGCGGAATGGTATTTTGGATTAGATGATAATCCTTCTATTGATCTATTGCTAAAAACTAATGGTGATAAATGGAAAAATGATAATAAGGCAAGATTAGTTAGAAGAAGTTTCTTAATTGAGGAAATTAAAATGAGAGAATTCGATTTTACTACTGCAGAAGTATTGGTCTTATTGGATTTGTTAAAAGGAAAAGATAAATTGAATAAATTAGTTGATGTCAAGTTATTAAATCGTAAAAGATAATAATCATTTATTCATAAATTTGTAATTTGAATATTTTATTATAATAAAATATTATAATAATAATACATTTGATGCATAAATAAAATAAAATTTCTCTTATAATTTATCTATTACAACATAAAACACAAATCTTAAATGCCTCTTAATTAAATTAAATATTTCTTTCAATTTTCTCATTTATTTTAATTCCATATTTATTCAATAAATCTCTATCAATATCAGTCAATTTTTGAACATGCCATAATTCTAAATTCAATTTTTTATAATTTACTTTACAATTTACTAAAAATTCTTTTAATGCTTCATGAGTAAATTTTAAATTTATATCAATATCAAATCTTTTCATTTCACTTGGCATGACTTGACCAATTTCCGGTAAAATTTGACTAATATCTAAATCTCTATAAATTATTAATTCTTCAAATCTTTCTAATAATTTATCATAAACGTAAAGACTTTTTAATTTCTTACAAACCTTTAAAAGTTTTATCATTTCTTCAAATTCTTCTAAATCAATTGAAATTTCCAATTCTACTAAATTTCCACAATAATTAATAAATAATTCAACAAGTTCTCTAAATGTTAATTCATCATCATTGATATCTATTGAAAGTAAATTATTACCTACTCTACTTATAAGGGATTTAATAAATTTCCCTGCTTTACTACATTGTTTAATTGATATTTTTGTTAAATTAAGAAATATTTCTTGTAAATTTGATGATATATTATTGGATGTGTTATTAGATATATTATTATTATTATTATTATTATTATTATTATTATTATTATTATTAAATTCAGAAAATCTATCCAATACTAAGAAATAACATTCATCAAATTTCAAATATTTTAAATTTTTAAATAAGGCTAATTGTTCTATTAAACTTGAATTTATTGACATTCCAGTAGTCAAATCAATTTTATAAAATTCAAAATTTTCAATAGTATTTTTATGTTCAGTGTTAATTAAGATATCAATTAATTTGTTAAAAGTCGATTTTTCAAATAATATTAATTCCATTTCCGTAATTTTTTTTTGAGATTTAATTAATTCTTCTAAATCTTTTAATGTTGGATAATTTCCTGGCATATATAATTCAAATCTACAAATATTTTTAGAAATTAAATCAATTTGTTTTGGAATATAATTACCCAAAAGATTATGATTATCTCCATATCTTAAAATTTTAATTGAAGAAAGACATTTTGTTGCTCCAGGAAATTCAAAAATATTTGATAATTGTCGTGAATTCGAAATATCCAATTTAAATATATGTAAACAATTACTAATAAAATGTTTACAAAATGAATTATAAGCCAATCCAAATAAAGATATTTTATTAGATTTACACCATATATCGACGGATATATATAATTCTTTGAGATTAAGAAATGTAAGGAATGTCGAGTAATCGAGAAATGGAATATTTCTAACATTAGAACTGTTATTATCCATACCGAAAATTTGAATTTGAATATGTTGAGGAAGACAAGCAAAATAGGAATTAATTAATGATGAATATCTTTTTATTAATTCTTTATTTTCATTTCTTTCGCTCTCAATTCTATCAATTCTTTCATTATTTCTTTCGTTATTATTACCATTTGTCTCATCATTTCTATTTTTAACTCTGGGAGAATCAAATCTATTACAAATTTCAAAAGGGTTTTTATAAAGTTCTGGTATGGTCGATAAATACCAATGACGATTTACTAATATACAAGAATATAGAGGTGAACCAATTTCATTTTGACTATGGATAAGAAGTTCGTCAAATATAACCTGTAAACATAAAGTTGGTAAAGTTGCTGCCATGTTTAAATTTTTTTTTTAAAAAAAAAAAATTTTAAAATTTATTATTAATTATGCGTACGTAATTTAAAAAAAAGAAATTAAAATATTCTTATAAATTTCCCAAAAAGTCTAAATTCGTATAAATTACATTACTTTTTCGTCAATTCGGTCCCGCAGTAACATAGCAAATACTTACACGTAACAAACATAAGTAAATCATTTAACCAACTCATTGCGTCACACATTCTTCAAAAAAATGATAATTTACCGTTGTGCATTATCTGCATCATCCATTCTTCTATTTTTTCGGTTATTGAATTAAAATATAATAAGAATAATTTAATATCTTTTTCTTTCGTTACCTTTTCCTACTTTTACATTAACGACAAAAGATAAAAAAAAGGAGAGAGAGATAAAAAAAGAGAGATATAAAAATAGTGATAAAGAAAATAGTGATTGAAAGAGACATAATAATGAGTCCTCCACCTTTCCCACCAGAAATTTATCAAAATATTTTTAAACTCTTTGATTACAAAACATTATACAAATCTATTTATGTATCTCGTCTTTGGTGTACTTATGCAATACCTTTATTATGGCAAGATCCTTTACAAATAATATTTAACCAAGAGAAAAATATTTTATCAAGAGCCAAATTAATCATTAACACATATATATCATTTTTACCATCCAATTCTAAAGCCAAAGCCAAATTAATTGAGAACAATATAACACCATCTTCACGCGTGGCGATTTTTAATTATCCAAAATATTTAAATAATTTAAATTATTTTTTATTTCATGATTCGGTGGCTTCTTTATTTTCCCAAAAACCTCCGATGATAAAGAAGAAATTGATTAAATTAATTTTGGAAGAATTATTTGATTTATTTTTTAATCAATCAAAGAATTTGGTAGGTTTAGAATATGGAACTCCCGTGATATTAGATTATCATAATCTGGATCAAAGTTTAAACCCAATTTTTATTAAATTGGAAAATTTTTCTCGTCTTTCGAAACTAAAAAGATTTAGTTGTCGAGGTAAAGTAAAAAATTTATATTCAATCGTTTTAGTTATGTAATTTATAAAATTAATAATCTATATAATTGATCATTCTCCTCATACATACATATATATTATATTTTCATCACAAACATTTAAAATAAACTATACATTATTATTTATAATTGATCATGTGCATATATATATTATCATATATATTCATAAACAATTCATCATTTATAATTCACCTTTTACAATTCATCATATACAATCCATCATGTACAATTCATCGTATATATTATATTATATACTAATTTAAAATTCTTTTAAACATTTAAATAAATAAATATATATATATATATATATATATATTTTAATAGCCGACACAACTCCGGAATTAATTTACACAATAAGTAAAGTTTCAAGAGAACTTTTACAAATAGATATTCAACAAGGATCTGATGATGAGGCATTATGTGCATTAGTAAATTCACAAAATAATTTACAAGAATTTGAAATGTCCACATGTCTCGAAGCAAAGAAAGTGTTAACAGCAATTTTAAAGAAATCAAGAACTTTAAGAAAGATAACAATTGTGGGAGGATCCATGATCTCATTTGATTTCTTTTTTCAATGCCCTAATTTAGAAGAATTAACTTTAAAATTTCCCATGAAAATTCCGGGAAGTGAAAGGAAATGGGTTCAGTATAACGATTTCGAGAATGATTTTACTAATTGGAACAATAATAATAATGATGGTGATGATAATAATAATGATGATAATGATAATAATGATAATGATAATAATAATAATAATAATTTTGGAAGATTATTACCAAGTTTATTAGAATATCATATTCATTTATTAGCAGTTTTATATGGTCAAACTTTACAATATCGAAATGTATATTCATCTCAAGTAGAATCACGCCTTTCTTCAGAGATAGAATATAATCCTTCATTATTATTAAATCAAGAAGAAGGAGGAGGAGGGGAAGAAGGAAGTGAGAGAAATAGAAATGTAGTAAGAAGTGGTGGAAGAGAAAGATTTAAGAGATATGAAAGAGAGAAATGTGAAAATCATCCCATCAAACTTTTTAAACTTGAGATTCATAGAAGTTATCAAAATATTATAAAAATAATTAATCTAATTAAAACTTCAAATTCCAAACTTTTAATTCTTAATTTAGATTTACCAAATCCTAAAGATCCAGAAAATTATTCACATCTTTTATCCACAATAATTAATTATTGTCCGAATCTCGTAAATATTAACCTTTACATTCCTACACAATCTTTATCATTTATTTCAAATTTATTTAGTCAATGTTCAAATCTTGAAGTAATAATTTTAAGAGGAGATCATAATTATTATAATTACCATCATCATCATCGATCAACAACCACAACAACCACAGCAGCAACAACTACCACAACAACAATATCGTCATCATCATCAACTTCTTCATCTTTATTTTTAACATCATCGGATAAACAAGATATTAGTAATATTTTAAATAAATTAGGATCAGTAATTCCACGTAATATTCGATTTTTAGCATTAGGTATACAAACTTGGAAATTTCAAGCGGTAGCTCTTGACAATTTTTTACAGCATTGTGAAAATAGAATAGATAATTTACCATTTAATTTTGCGATAGATACAAATTGTGAGGTAATTGATATATTCAGGAAATATCGTAAAAGAGGAGTTTGTAATCTTTTAGTTCCCAATTTTTAATTTTTAATTTTAATTTTTAATTTTTAATTTTTTAATTTTTTAATTTTTTAATTTTTTAATTTTTTAATTTTTTAATTTTAATTTTTAATTTTTTAATTTTAAAAAAATATTTTTTTAGTTAGATTTTTTTTTCTTTAATTTTCTTAATTCTCTTTGTTTATTTCAATAAACTAATGAAAAGCCTGTAAAGGAATAATGATAATTTTTTTCAATATTTATAAAATTATTATTTGAGATAATTATTAGAATAGAATTATTATTAATATAATTAATATAACTATTGGAATTAATGGGGGTTTTTTTTTAATAAAAGATAAATTTTATAGTAAATTATAAAGTAAATTAGATCAAGTCAAGTAATAGATCAAAAAAAATAGATCAATCAAGCAAGAAACCTTTAAAGAAGAGAACTCATATTCATATTCATTTTATATTTTGTATTTATGTATAAATAATTTAATTAACTAATTTAATTAACTAATTATCAACAAATTTAATTAACATAATTTCTAAAAAAAAAAAAAAATATTCTAAAAATTATCTAATATATAAAATTAAAAATTAAAAATTAAATATTAAAAAATAAAATAAAACAAAAGATTAAAAGTAAAATAGAATAAAAAAAAAATAATAATAATGAAAATAATAAAAATAATAATAAATCAGATGAAAAAAAAACTAAAAGAATAAATCAACATAAGCAACTTTCCTAGTTTTAACCACAATTACACCCTTCTTTTCATATTGATCAAGTAAATCTTTAAGTTCTTGTTTAAAGAATCTAATATGAATAACATAAATGAGTGGTTTCCTATTTAATTTCTCATAACATTGACTTAAAAAACTTTTCACTGAACTTAAAGAATATGTCCAAAATTGTAAATTCAAATCAAATAATTGTAAATTTTTTGGTAAATATTTACCAATCTTAAAGATGGTATTAGTAATATCCCGAGTATCATCATGAGAACCGGATAAATGAATTTCTATTAAATTTTCACAATTATCAAATAATCTTGTCACCTGAGTAATTAAATCATTATGAATTTGAATATTTAGCCTTTGAAGATTTGGACATTCACTACAAATGGTCATAAATAATTGTTTACTGAAACCAGGATCCAAAGGAACGATGAAATCAAAATCAATATCTTGTAAACTTCCTTGAGTTTTTTGAATTAATTGAATTAACATGGATCGATGTTCAGTTCTAAATAATCTTTGGTGAATTTTCATTTTACGTAATTTCGTTAAATTTAAAATTGGAATTGAAGCATGTAATTGAGCTTGAGCTGATAAAATATTTGTACGAGTATTTGATGGTTGACGATATCGAGGTCTATCACGAACTTGAATTTTTCCTTCCAAGGGATGAACCAAATCATCATAATCTTTATCTTCCGGTCTATCATGAATAAATATGAATTCTTCTAAATTTGGACATTGACAAAATAAATCCAAAAGAAATCTTTCATGACCAATTATTGATACTTTACAAAGTGAATTTGATTGACTCTTTAAAGCTGAATAAATTTGAGATATATCAGAAGGATAATAAGAATCTATTCTAACATATTTTAATTCTTTTTGGGCATTAATTAACGCTATTATTCCATCATTGTCTTGTAAATCTTGTAATCCCAATGAACGAATTCTCTTTGCCATCTCGGATATTGAATAAATCAATTCAGGTGGTGAATGTCCTAAATAAAAATAAAAATAAATTATTATTATTAAAAATTTTATTATTTTTATTTTTTATTTTTATTTATTTTTTATTTTTATTTTTATTTTTTATTTTACCTGTACAACTAAAACTTTGTAAATTTGAAATAAAAGTATTTGCTCCAGGAACACTAAATATATTCATAAAAGATTTTCCTAAATATTTAAGAGGCATCGGTGAACCTTTGGATATTAAAGGATTCGTCAAATCAATAGATCTCAGACCCGAACTATTACTTATTAAGAATTTAAGTAATTCTTGTATAATTATTTTACATGGTTTAATTCTAAGTAAAGAATTTGGTTCATATGATATTAAATCATATAAAGAATTAGATAAAACTAAATAATTCAAATTATGTAAAAATGAAGAATAATTAAAAGTAGGAGTTCCATCTAATGGATAAGGTATATTTATTCCGGAATTCTTAATAATTGATTTTGATTCATCGGGAAGACAAGATAAATATATTTTAACGATGAGTAAAGCTTTTTCGGTATAATTGTAAAGGTGTTCATGATAAGAAATTGTAATAAAAGGTTCACGCCATAAAATTGGTATAGAATTAATACACCAAACACGATCAACTCTAGTTGTCGCGAATAAAGTTTGTGAATCAAGAAAAGAAAAAAGTTTTTGATATAATTCTGATGGAAGTGATGGAAGTGAAGAGGGCATTATTTATTATTATTATTATTTATTAATATTATTTATTATTATTATTATTATTATTATTATTATTATTATTATTATTATTATTATTATTATAGTTTTATCTGTTGTTATAAACAAAAGATAATTAATAATAATTAATGTAAAGAATGAAAGTAGTAATAATTTTTAAACAGTAAATTTCCTAATATTTAAGTTAATCTCTGTAACACAACGACACAGAGGAAACACAAACACAACAAACAACAAACAACAACAAACAGGATGGAAGGTGTTATGATAACATATATTATACACCTCATAGCTTTTGATCAACTAACAGAATTTGTGAATGGAATATTAGAAATATTTAAATCAGAATATTTTAGATATATGGCTGGGAATTTAGCCACCCTGAGAAAATGAGAAAATGAAAATAATAATCATGTGGTCATAGAAGATATGTAGAATACATACATTTTATATATTATAAATATATATTTTATAATTTATAATACAGAACAGTGGAAATTTAATAAGTATTACGTAATATTTCCAACGTTTTGTTTTTATAGATATATCATACTTTATATAGAGACAATGACGATAATTAAAATTGTGACGAAATAATGATGATTTCCTAATGATGATAATACGGAGACAACAATTGTTACTTTTGCGTACTTTGCATACTTTGCATAGTTCGGAAAATCACATTTTTGTTTAAACTATTCTTGTTTTATGTTTTATTCTAAATATCAAAATAAACGTATGTTATGTATGTTATTATGTACGTTACAAAAAAAAATTTTTTTTTTTTTTTTTTCGAAATAATAAAAATTTCTCACCCAACAATAAAATGAATTTATTCATCTACCATATTATTTTCTTTGTTTTATTTTTTATAACAGTTTTTAATTTAACACACAAATTACAATATAGTTAAAAAATTTATAAAAAAAATGATTGTATATATATCAGGAAACAAATTCATACACATAACATAATTAAACACTGCGGTCATTACCACATGACCAACCGTTAAAGACGATTTAATCCCATATAAATAGACCTCAGAAATTTTCTTCTTTAACCAACAAAAAAATCGAATCTTAATTTTACAGTTATTAATTTTAGTTTTCCACAAAAAAATTTTTTGCCAACATTACAAAGTTATTTTCGAAGTTAATTAATTACGGTGTTCCGAATTTTTTAATTTCAACCCATTATTATTTTTATTCTTATTTAAAAAAAACTCTTTAAAAATTCTTTAAAATACTTTAAAAAACCACATTAAAAAAAAAAAAAAAAAAAAAAACTTTTGAATTTTGAAAAATCTTGATAATTTTTTTAAGCAGTAATATAAATAAATCTAAATAATCCTTGTAAAAAAGTAAAAAAATGTTACCACCATTTCCTCCAGAATTATATAATAGGATATTAAAAGAATTAGATGTAAAATCATTACATTCTTGCATATTAACAAACAGGTTATTATGCGTTTATTCTATGCCTATCTTATGGAAAAATCCTTTAAAATATTTATATAACAAAGAAGACACCATTCTTAATGAATTCCCTTCAGAAATCAAATCAATTATGATAACTTACATTTATTGTTTACCCAAAGATTCTTTTATATTCCAAAATGAATTTTTAACTAATCAACTTTCAACACCTTCTGTTTCTCCTTCTCCTTCTCCTCGTTCTTCTTCTTCTTCAATTCTAAACATGGATCGTTATAACAGATATAACAATTATAATTATAATAATATTATTATCGATGATAATAATAATAATAATAATTATTATCCATCATTTAATTATGCATCATATTTAAGTACATTAGATTATCACCAATTTTCCCAATCAATTTATTCAATATTTCCTTTAGAAATTTATACTCATAGAGATAGAAAAAGGGTTTTAGAAGAATTAATTAAATTCTTTCTTAATCAATGTAAAAATTTAACCACTTTGGAATATAGTTTATGCTCTAAAAATAAAATGAAAGTGATGGAATTCTTTCCACCTTACGAAGAACAAGGTCAATTTGTTGATTTGATCACCTTACCAAAGAGTTCGGATTTTTTGGCAAGATTACAGAAATTCACATTTTCATTTACATGTAAGTATATTAATAATAATAATAATAATTAAAAAATATATATAACAAATATTAATAATTAATATAATTTATTTTATTCAATATTAATAAATATTATATTATTATAGGTTTCACATTATTACCTAACACCAATAATATGCTAAATTCTTTAGCTCAATTATCAAAAAGAATTCAAGATATCGAAATTTTGGATGTATTAGATAATGAAGGATTAGTAGCATTAATTAATGCTCAAACTAATTTATATGATATTAAGTTAATTGAAGGAACTAGTGAAATTCCCAAAGTAATTTTGGCATTATCCAAAAAATCTGATACCTTACGTAAAGTTTATATCACGGGATATTCCGCCACCACTTCGGTGGATTCATTCTTTCAACAACCACCGAATTTTGAAAATTTAGAAGAATTATCTTTAATTCAATTTTCCACTCGTAATAAACCTTTATATCATTATCCGGATTTTTTAGTTCATCGAACTAGACGTAGAAGGCACAGAGTACAAATTAGACAACAACCCCCTCCTCTTCCTCCTTCCGTTCCTCTTGTTCCTACTTTTATTACTACTACTGTTGCTTCTGCTGCTACTGCTACTACTCCTAATGTTCCTCTAACGACAGCAACAGCAACGACAACAACTAATATTACTACTCAAACATCAACAACTAATCCAACGACAACAATTAATACTACTTTAATATCAACAACTGCTCCAACAACAACTACAACTACAACTTCTCAACCATCAATAACTACCGCTCAATCATCATCATCATCATCATCATCATCAACAACAACAACTACAACTACATCTCGAAATAATCAAACAAATAATAATATTCGATTACAAGCAATGCGATCTTTTTTTCAACGAGCACAACAACACCAAAATAATAATAATAATAATAATAATAATAATAATAATAATAATAATAATAATAATAATAATAATAATAATAATAATAATGATGATGATGATAATAATAATGATAATAATAATAATAATAACAATAATTCAATAAATCTACAAAATGTATTTTTAAATTTAGGTCAAACCAATACAACAACAACAGCTAATAATCAAACTTTTAATAATCAAACGACGACTCGAACTTTTAATAATCAACGAAATCGCATTTTACAAATCATACAAGCTCGACAAACGAATCAAACGAATCAGCAGCAAACACAATCATTGCAACAACAACAACAACAACAAACGAATCAACAGCAACAGCAACAACAATCAAATCAACAAGTTGTTCAATTTTTACAACAAACAGCTCAACAAGCTCAACAACGTTATCAACAATTACAGCAACAACAACAAAATTTACAACAACAAATACAACAACATCAAATTGCTTTACAACAACAACAAGTTTATTTACAACAAACAATGCGTATTCAAAGTCATAATCCACGAGCAAGTACTCAACTTCAAACAGCTCTACAACAATTACAACAAACGAATCAACAACAATTACAACAAACAAGTCAACAACTGTTAACTCAACAACAACAATTAAATCAACAACTGCAACAATTACAACAACTAATAAATCAACAACAAACAACTAATCAACAACAAACAATACAAACAACGCAAACTGTTCAAACTACTCAACCAATTAATCAACAACAACAACAATCAACGCAAACAGTTAATCAACAATTAATTCATTCTCAAGCAGCTCAACGAGCAATTCAACTTCAAGCGGCTCGACGATCAGCTCAACTTCAAGCAGCTCAACAACAAGCACAAATGCGAGCACAAACACGAGCACAAGCGCAAGTACAAGTGCAAGCACAAGCGCAAGCGCAAGTACTATCGACTCAACAACGAACACCACGAACTCAAACACGACAACAGGCATCAATTCAACAACAACAACAACAACAACAACAACAAACAGCTCAACAACAAGCAGCTCAATTACGAATGATAGCACAACAAGCAGCCGCTCAAGCAACAGTTAATCAACAATCTCAAAGATTACATACCGCACAAAATCAAGCGATGAGACATGCAATTTTAGCACAAATCACCGCACATCGAACTCAACCATTTCATTTAATGCCACAAATACTTCGACAACATCATCACGCAGCATTATTACATTCACGAGTTGAATTACAACAAACAAAAATAATTAAAGAAGTTCGAGATCAAATTAATTCATATAACAACAATAACAATAATAACAACAATAATAACAATAATAATAATAACAATAATAGCAACAACAACAACAATAATAATAATACTCGTCGTCATTTAAGGAATATATTTAATAATAATAATAATAATAATACATTAGCTAACGAAAGACAATTATTTTATCAAAATCTTCAAGATTACAATCAACAATTATCATCATTAAATCCAAATTTAAATGATTTAAATTATTCAAATTTACGTAAACTTGAAATTGAATTATACAATGGACAATACATTCAACAATATATTTCATTAATCTTAAATGTTAATGGTAACTTAATGGAAGAACTCGTCATCAAATTATTTAATACCTATGATTCAGATAATTATCCAATCCTATTTACCACGATCATTGAGAATTGTCCAAAACTTAAAAGAATTGATTTGATAGTATCCAATGATTCAATATTACAAATCCCTCAATTATTTTCAAATTGCATGAAACTTGAAAGTGTGAATTTGGATACGGTGAAAATAGAACCTTGGGATATTAGTGAAATCTTATATAACCTTGGAGACATCGTACCAATGAAATTGAAAAATTTAAGTCTTGGAGAATTCTCATGGAAATATTCGGATGACGCATTATATTATTTCTTTAATTGTTGTGATGAGAGGTTAGAATTTAAACCATTACAATTTGGGGTTGGACATTTGTTGGAAGATCGAGTGCTCAAAGTATTTTATGAATTTATATCAAATGGCGTTATTGAAGTTTAAATTTTATTGTCAATTATTATATTTTCTTTATAGTTTATTATTATATTTTTATGACTTATTATAATATTTTTATAGCTTATTATAGTTATTATAGTTATATATCGTTATTATTTATTATAATTTTATATGTCATTTAACTAGTTATAGCTTATTAAGTTTATTAAATATAACTTATTATATTTATTATTGTTATTTTATGCTAGTTATAGCTAGCTTATTTATAGTTATTATAGTTAAAAATTTACTTCATTATAGCTTACTTATAGTTATTTTCACATTTTATTATTTATTTTTTTATTCTAATCTTTTTTTTTTCAAAAATGAATGGTAATTAATAAATTCTGTTTTATAAACTCTGTTATAAATTTTGTTACAAAATCAAAAAAAAAAAATATATTGTACATTAATTATTTTTTGTTTTGAATTTTTTTTTAATCATAATAATATGACAAATACAAATACAGTTACAGGGTTACAGTACATACAATCTGATAAATAAATAAATCTATACATATATATATTCTATATTTTGTATCTTTTCAAATTAATAATCAATATTAATTAGAAAAAAGATATTAAAAAAAATGTATATATCTATATATAATACTCATTATACTATATTACTGTTGTCATTATTATTATTATTACATTCAATAATATCAACATCAAACAAATTTTATTAGTTTTTAGGGATGAAGATGATGATACACCAGGATGTTCAAAGTTGGTTGGGGCAGAGTAAGAAGTAGACTCATTGACAGTAGTAGGAGTAGGAACTGATGATGGTGTTGATGTTTGTACGATTGGAACTTCTTCATCATCGAGTGGTTCGTCGGGTATGATTGGATTAGGATTATCGGCAGTTGCATAACTATATTTTTATATGTATTATATAATATATAAATATAATAAAAAATTAATAAATAATATAATTTAATAAATAAATAAATAATAATAAATAAAATATAAATTATAAATATTTACCCAAGTGAATTCATAATAGATATTAATCTCGGACCAACTGCTCCACCAGAAAAATTCCCACCACTTATAATTAAATCATCAATAGTTAAACCAGGTTCTAAAGCGAATCTCATTAAAAAATCGGAAGTATCGGAATATACTGCCTCACTAACGTGACTAATACTTGATCCAGGAGCATAAGGGTTTAAACTAGTTTCTAAGAATGTTCCATCAACAATATCAACATCTCTTGGTACGAACATCATACTTTTCTCTAATGTCGCTTTCTTAAATAAATATTTTGCTACATTTGTCCATTCCGGTGAAGCCATAAGTTCATTAAAGAAATCATTGGCAGTACTAAAATTTGTATTTGGTGGTCCAAAATTATTTAATTGATTGGTAAAATTGGTGAAAGAGGTTGGGGGAGTTCCGGTTGGATCACTGGTATCAGGTAAGACCATAACAAATCTATCAAAAATGGATTCAGCAAATCCTTCAAATAATACGGGATCCAATAAAGTTGGTTCCTCCGTTTCAAAGGTTAATACCGGAATTGGTGAAAGAGCATCAGATTTCATATCCAATGCATTATTTACGTGATCCCGATAACTTGAAGTAAATCCTAATCCATGAAATAATTCATGAAGAATTACTGTATGAAAATTTGCTTGATTAGGTTTGATTGGTCCATCATTTTCAAACCAGAAATTTGCTCCTATATGTTATGAAAATATATTATGTGATATTAGTATATATGTGATATTAGTATATATGTGATATTATTAAGTGTTTAAAAAAAGAATAATTACCAGCATTAAACATTGCAATAATATCATCATCATTAAATTCAGGATGATTAGTAAAGTTAAATTGTTTAACTAATGCTTGAGGATATAATCTAGTAATTTTATCATCTGATACTAAAGGAATTAATCTGGCAGGACCTGCTGAACCTAGATTATTAAGATTAAATGAATTAGATTGAATTAGAATTAGAAATATTAGAGAATTAAAAATTAAAAATAGAAATTATAAATTAAGTTGGAATTAATAATAATAATAATAATAATGATAATAATAATAATAATAATATATTACCAAGTAATCTCCGATCATTCAAATCATCAAATAATGCGTTGATAATAATAGGCGTATTAAAAATGAATGCTTTAGAAATAACTTTTCCCGCTTCTTCAAATGCCAATTCCGCTTTATCACATAATTTTTTATCTGTAATACCACAAGTAAAATTCAATTGAAATGCATTATCACCAACTATCGAATTTATTAAATTATTTGAATCTTGATTCGTTTTGACAGTTGGGCAAGATGAAAAACGATGGTTATTGGGATTTATTGGATCAGAGTAATCTATACATTGTCGTGAAGTGGTTTTGGTTTTGGGTTCGGGTTTAGGTTTGGGAAGTTTTGTTGTTGCGGATGATACGATCGCTATTTGAGATAATATTAAACTTATGTAAAAGAATATTAAAATATATGACGATAATGATGATGGTGATTTTGATGATTTCATATTGTTATTATTTATTCTTTTTATGTAATGTGTAGTTAAAATGTAAATGTATAGTTAAAAATGCAAATGTATAGTTAAAAATGTATGATAATAAATTCAATAAATGCTAAGAATGTGAGTGAGTTATGTGAATTTTACTAGTCTATGAATAATATATAATAATAAACTTATTGGCAAGCCAAAAAAGTTGTTATTATTATTATTATTATTATTAGTAGAAGAAAAAGAAAGAAGAAAATTATTTGGGTTGTGACAGGTAATAGAATGTATTCGTATTTAAAGGTTTTTTTTAATTAATTAATTAATTACTTAATGTATAACTATCATTTTGTATAATTATTCTTAATAAAGAGTAATACATTTTAATACATTTTTTAATATTTACAAATATATTAAAAATTCCTAACAAATAAATGCGCTTATTTTTGTTCGTGTCATGTTTCATCGAACAACATTTTCAAACATTTTATATATACATGTATATAAATGTATTAACTTGTAACTCAAACTATAAATCTCTTGTAACAGTTAATCCTTATTATTCATTTTTTTTCCTCTTTTTTTTTCCTTTTACTTTTTTATTTTATTTTTATTTTCTTTTATCTTAATTCTTCTTCCCCATCCCTACAACAAAAAAGCTAAGCATTACACACACAAAAGGCAACCAAACACACAATCACAAAAACGTGCGTGCAATCTTTCTTTCCAATCCTAATTCGGAAATCATTGTACACATACGTAATTCTTTGTTTATTTACACCTCGTATAATTTTGGTATATGTTTATATTACAAACTAGCTTCATTTCCTGTTTTTACTATATTAATATAATATATTAATCTATATAATTATATAATATACACATAAATATATAACAGATAATAGTTTACTCAAAAATCTCAAAAATCTCAAAATCTACGATTAATTTTACACAGTTACAAGTTTATTTTAAATATTTACAATATTTACAATATTTACAATATATTTACTAGTTATTACCCCTCGATTGTTTAAGTTTGATTAATTGATCGGTTGATTGTTTCTGAGTCATTACAGTCATTATGTTAAGGATGTTCAGATTTATTTAGGTGTTTCAATTGATATATTTTCCTTTAAAAAACAATCGAAACAGCCGAAAAACAGTGATTCCAAATATATACATTTTTATATGTATATATACAACCATGTATATGCGTAATATATATATATATTTAACTTTGGTTATATTTTGAAACAGAAATTAGTCATTCTAAGAGTCTTAGTAGATCTAAACAATTAGACTAGACTAAAATAAACTAAATTATAAAAGATAATCAAATCCGCGAGTAATTTCATTACATCGGAATTGTTACAGTTGTTATTACACAATTGCTATATGGAAAATCAGAGGACTATAATAAATAAATAAATAAATAAATAAATACATTTTTATTCAAGTTAAAAGTGTATTGCATATAAATAACAAACTACTATAAATAGATAATAATTGATAACAATTGATATTGATATGTAAAATTTTTTTGTATTTAAAAAAAAAAAAACTTGATAAAAAAAACTTTTTACAAATCCAATAAATAATAATAATAAATAACCAACAAATAATTATTCGAAATTCTCTGGGATTTAAACCAAAAATTAATTCGAAATGATTTAAAATATTCTTCAAAATTGATTCAAAATTGATTCAAAATAATTTAGATAAGACCAGATTCCCTAAGATTTTCTCTTTGAACAATATCATTTACTGAAGCTACGATTACTCGCATTTGTTTTGTATCCTGTTGATATATATTTTGACATGCGTTTATTTGTGTTGTGTCGGTAAAGAAATAAAAGAAATAAAAGAAACAAAAAAAAAAAGATTAACAACATAGAAATCAAAGCAAATTTTATTTAAAAAAAAATAAAATAAAATAAAATTTAATTTTACCGTTGCATGCGTGAAATGAACATAAGTATGTTTATCCTCACTTTCAAAACAATCTAAGAATTTTTGTTGAAAGAATTTTGTAACACTTGAGAATTTGTTATTGCCTAATTTTAAATAAAATTAAAATTTAATAAAATTAAAAATAAAATTAATAAAATTAAAAATAAAATTAATAAAATTAAAATAAAATTAAAAATAATACGAAATTAAAATTGAAATAAAAACCTTTATAATCCGGAAAATAATCTTTCACTTCAATATAAGTCAATTTATTTTGAAGAATATCAATCTTATTTAAAAATAAGATAACGCTGGTATTGATCATCAGTGGATTATTGCATATAGTATCAAACAATTGAATAGAATCAGTCATACGATTAACATCAATATCTTCTTCTAATGTTTGATCAAATGCTGAAACTGCTGCCATAAAAATTATTGCATCCACATCATCAAAATATGGACTATAAAAATATTATATTATTAATATTTATTAATAGCAGAGATTAATATTAGCAGAAGATTACTGATAACAAATATTACATAATGTAATAGAGAATATAATAATAATAATAATAATAATAATATAAAACTTACGCCCAAAAGTGTCGTTGAGATCGATGTCCACCAACATCATAAATCCTAAATATAATTAGAAAATATAATAAATATAATTATAAATATAAAAATGTAAAAAATGTAATTATAATCATAAAAATGTAAAAAATGTAAAAAATGTAAAAATGCTCTCTCTCTCTCTCTCAATTATAATTATGTACCTGTATATGGTGCGATTAATTTCAAATTTATGTTCAGCTACACCAACAGTTCTTACTCTTGCTTGAAGAATATCTTCATCAGTTGGTAAATAATCACTTTTACTAATTCGATCAATATTATCTAAAAAGCTTTATCATTATCAATCAAAGATTTAAAGAATTTTGTTGATTAATTCTTTCTACGGAAGAAATATGCATAAAAAAAAAAATGAATATAATAAAATTAATAAATTAATTATTACTATTTTGCCGAATCTTGTAATCCAATTTCACTAGCAGAATTAAAACATTTTTTAATTGCCGGATCTTTCCACAAAGCTTTAATAGAATCCACATGTTCACGGTATAAATCCAACGCATCATCATCTAATTTTTGATCTTTCATAGCCGCTTGGATGGTGAACGAATTACAATTTAATGAATCCTTTATTGAAGTTAATTTTTGAAATTTTTCTAAATGTTGTTGATTCTTTTCAATCTCTAATTTATATCCTAAACTGGTGACGGCATTGGTAAGTGCTTTCATTGCGGTAAGGATATTGATGTATACGATTCTTCGATATTGTTGACGTTCGGCTTCAAGACCTTTGCCATGAATAATTTTTAATTGTTTGAGAACTGTCGTTTTACCACTTTCCGAGGAACCTAAAACAAACAAATTCAATTAAATTAAAAAATATGGTTTATATCACAACAAAAAATAGATATATTAATAGATAGACAAATAAGATTATTATATGAGTTAATAATACAATTAATACAAATAAATATTAGATATATCCAATTTATATTTATTTATTACCTAATAATAATAATTTAGCATCTTTTTGTTTATCCCTTTCTTCTTTTTCTGCTTTTAATTGTCTATCAATAGCCTCGCTATGTTTCTTCGCCAATTTTTCATGTTGAATGCGTTTTTTTTTTTCTTCGGGTGTTTCGTTAGGTGGAATATAAGGTCTTAAAGGATCTCCCATATCAATAGTGGCTGTTGAATGTGCCATATTAGTATTATTTATTGCTTTTTTTTGTATTTGGGGAATTTAGTTTTTTTTTTGGTTTTTTTTTTGGTTTTTGGGTTAATTGTAATGCAAAATACTAAACATACACGATATCTTAAATACTTTATCTTAAAAAGTACAAACAAATAATACAAATATCAAATTTTCATCAAAAACTTTACATCAAGCTAACTAACTAACCAACTAACTAACTAACTACAACAACTACTAACCACAACAAAAAAAAATAACGTAACAATATATATATATATATACTCTCCAAATAAACAAAAAGAAATTAAAAAAGTTGGTAACTTCTTTTTCTATTTCCTTAAAAGGAATTTATAATTTAATATTGTTATACAAGAAAAGTAAAATGATGGTTAGTAAATAATAATTAAAGAATGCAGATGTATATTAATAATTAAATGAAATTTTTATTATTTTAATTAACAAAAAATTGGGTTAACATCTTAAAGCAACTGACAAAAAATAATAAAAAGCAAAGCACTGAAATATAGGAATATACACTGATAATTAATTATATTTGATAAAAATTAATTAAAAAAATATTTACTAATATTTACATATCCCTTTAAAATTTTGATTGGTTCTTTACATATTGGACATATATGGTCAAGAATTGGACTTGTTATCTGTTTTTGATTATTTGAAAATATACCTGCTTGCTTTACAAATTATTACAAATGAAATAATTATAACTTTCTACTTTTTCTATATATGTTTTAACAAAGATACTTGTTTCAGTTATTGAAAATATATAATAAGTTACATTTTTACTAACTTTTTACTATCAACTTAGCTTTGTAACCTTAGCATTGTGATTATAGGGTTCACATTAGATATATCATTATTTCTATCTTTATTTTTTTAACAATTTTTATAAAAGAAATATCAAGTTACATGAAAAATTAAGCCAATAATATAGTGACCTATGCATTTTATTATTATATTAGTAAACACCTTAAAAATCAAATAATTTGAACTAAATAGTTTAACTCAATTCTAAATTATATTATTTTTAATTTTCTTATAATTTTTACATATATGCATAAATTCTAAAGTGCTTCACACTATCTGATATTTTTGTTCAAGTTTAGATATTACCTATTTTTTATTCTAAATTATTATAAATAATTGTTCAAATTATTAGCTTAAATTACTAATACTAATATTTTAATAAATTTTCTTTGAACAGTAATAACTTGATAAATACTATTTCTATAAAAAAGTAACAGGAAACATGAACAGACTTTTTTTGTTGATCTATTTTACATTTTTTTTACACCTTCAATTTTCAAGTTTTTAGAACTAAAATCATTAAAATAGATAACAATTTTGATATATATATCAAAAATCAATATCCAGGAACATACTTTAAAAAAAGATATTTTTTTTCTTTTTTAAACTAGCTTCTAGAAACTCAAGAATTATAATTTGTTTTCTTGACAAAACAAAGTAATTTAAAGTTCAAGAATTATAATTTGTTTCTTGATAGAATAAAATAATTTAAAACTCAATAACTATAATTTATTTTCTTGACAAAATAAAGTAATTTAAAACTTAAAAGCTATAATTTACTTTTTTAATTAAAAAAGATATCTAAAACCTTTAAAATTTATATTAATTATTTGCATAGCTATTTGAATTTTAACTATCTTTTAAATATTTAAAAATTTATATTGCATTTTTGTTTAGCTGAAATCTCTAAAATCTTAATTTTTATAACAATTAATTTATATTTTAGCCTCACTCTTTTTTCTCTCTAGTTTTTATTAAGTTGACAAGTATAAAATTGCAAAATATAAAATTCACTAATATAAATTTTACATGTTTCAAGTATAATTCACAATGAAATAATTATATCAATTATGTCAATTAGTAAAATAATTACATCAAATTACATCTGCAAATTATTTTACTTAGTAATACTTACAAAAAATTATAATATGTTGAATTATATTAGTATTATATTAAATAAGTATAATTTCAAGTACAAAAGAAGTTAGTTTACTATAAACTTTGCAAAAAACACATTTTTTAAATCTCTAATATTCATGGCATCCTTCAAGTCATTGACAACCACATCCACAAACTTTACCAAAGTTGTATATACATATAATTGTAAATATATTTTTCAAATATGGATAAAAGAAATATTTTTTATTTAAATAAAAAATCTGACTAAATAATATATAATAAAAAGTACAATATTCAAAATAGTAAATCACAAAAATATCAATTAGTACTGGTCAAAAATTTCTAAATACTATATCTATCAGGTACCTAATAGATGTAAGAGTAATATATAGTGACGTATCAAAAGTTACCAGGTAATCAAAAATTATATAAAAAATTATCAAAATTAAAATATTAATTGTGACATAATGAGTAAACAAAATTACACAAACTTTTTTTTATTAGATTTTTCTAAACTAGGGCTATCATATGATATATTTTGTAATAAAATCAAATATCTATTTATAGAGAAATTACGCTTCAAATGAAATTGACAAAAAATAATAAATTTAATTTTTGGACATTACCTATACTGAATTCGATAGAGATTAAAGATAGATACCAACTATCTTATACGAACTTGTAGCTTAAAACAAGAGCTATATCTTTAATTATTATTCTTTTTCATAATTACTAATTAAAATTAAAACTTTATTTAAACGTGAATAAAAAAGATTGGAACTATTAAAATTATGAATTGTCATTTTTTAAAAAAATAGGAAAATCGAAAAATAATAGTTGATCGTTATTACATTATAACTTTATATTTTACTAATCAATTATTAAAAATGTCACTAAGATGCCTTAAAGCCAAAAATTAAATATAAAAATTTGAAGCATATTTTTTTAAAATTAAATAAGTTATTGATGTTTAACTTTTATGCAATAAATTTTAAATGATCAGAATTTAAATGTTCATTATTTACTCAATTTTAAAGGAATAAGCTTCAAATTTTTACAATAAGTACATCATATTTCTAGCTTTGAAACTACTTAGTAATATTTTTAATAGTTTATTAGTAAATAAATAACATTTTTGTAGTTTTTATGTGATAACGATTGATAATTATTTCTAGAATTTTATTTTAAAGGACAGTGTATAAAATTTTTTTTAAAAAATTTTTGAAAATAATTACTGATAGTTATTATATATAAAAAGTTTATTTTTTACTAATTAAATATCAAAAATATAACTAAGTAGCCTTAAAACCAAGAATATATTATATATAATATAAAATTTTTAAGATTATATTATTTAAAATGAGCAAATAATAAATATCTAAATTCATAACATTTTGAAAATTATAACTTAAGTTCAAATACAAAAATTTGTTTAATTTTAATCAATTTATAATAGATATATTACATTTATACGTGTTGCCCAAATCCCAAATCATTTGGGATTTGGGACGCCAAAATTCCAAATTACTAGTATTTGGGATTTG